GTTCTGCACTTACAGAAGGGATGGATCTGATGCTCGAATGGGTGTCTTCCATCTCTAACGTCTTTGCTGCTGCCTGGTAAACCCCACTGGAGGCTCTCCAGCAGGAGGGTAGCAATAAGGCATCGCTAAGTAAGAGAGGGAGGTTTAACAATGAACTCTGGATTCAAAATGGCCCAGTCCCCAAACCTGAGATAGGTGAGGTTTTGTGCAGGTTGCAGGAGTCTTTCCACATAGATCAGCTTGTAGGATCGGAGCCCAGAACAGCAGAAGCAAAGGATTTGGTTTCCAGGGGACTCCTCCTTCGCAAAGTGGCACCTAGGCCCAGATCCTGAAAGGTATTACGGCTTCTAACTGCCATGGAAATCAATTAAATGTAGGAGCCTACATCCCTGGAAGAATGTGGTCCTTCGACACCCTTGTGAGCTCCTATGCAGAAGAGAATAGGAGGAGGATGCAGAGAAAAGAACATCTTTATTGTTGACACCAAAACACAACTGCACACTTTAGATGATGACACCGCCGTTCCAAAGCAAGTTATTGTCTCTTTGGAGAATTTACAATTTGAGTGACATGGTCCACGATGCATACTGGAAAGAGAGAAAAACTTAAGATAAAAGATGTGTATTTATCCGTCCAAAGAAAAACAGCATCTCAAGGATCTTTTATTTTCTTGGGATTTGGGGACTGGAGAATGACATGAGAAGGGCATTTTTGATAGATGATGAGTGGTTTGCAATCTTTTTGGTAGGGATGACTAAGGTCCCAGTTCATCAAAACACTTAAATGTACACTTAACTTTAACACTGATTCAATGCGACTTAAGCAGCTACTGAGATGTGTTGCTAAATAAGGATGGTCTTAGGTATGCACTTAAAGTTAAGCACATGCTGAAATATTTTGCTGAATATGGTCTTAGTTTTAAAGAAGGCAAGTCAAATATATCTAGGATTTTCCCTTACATTAATACATTTTTAATACCAGCATTTTAAAGCTACAGGAGAGGTGCTTTCCACAGATATGGAGAAATTAAAAAAAAATTAAGGTATAAAAATAAAACTAATAGAAAAAATGCCTCTTCTAAATATAAAAATCTAGAAATTGTTATGAAATGAAAAACTAACAGTAGAAAAAGTTTGTGGGTATTAAACCATAAGGAATACAGTGTACAATAATGCACAAAAATAAGGAAAGGAAAACCCTTTTTAAAACTGTTTTTCTACTTTTGAGTATTTTCAATATTAATGTTTAAACCCTCAGATGGAAACCTGGGCCCCATTAAAATCAATGGGAGCTTTGCCATTGGCTGCAATGGACCAGGATTTTGCCTTCAGTAGCTGGAATTTCATTCTTTCTTAAATAAAGAGATATCCATTAATTAATGCAAAACTATGACAGAAAACAACACATGACACCGACCGGAACATTCAATTAATTGTGATTGCTATTTACTAAAACTTCTGAGTCATTCATGGCCTTAAAAGGACAATTAAAATAGTTTAAAATATTGTTGGGGAAATGAAGGCAGAAATAAATTGTGGCTGCCTGTAAATATCATTGCCCATGTAAGGGGAAATGATCAGCAAAATTACCTGAGGTATGTCCCCTTTATTTTGCTTAAATTAAACATTTTAAATATTTCTTAAATAAGTTCATTTAAGCTTCCTAATTGATCAGCATATACTTATTATTCCAGTATTTACCCACAGCCCACCACAATGCTAGGCTTTACCAAGAACAATTACAGCCCATGGTTTTTCCATCCTTGCCAAATATCCTGCAACCATCATATGTAAACAGACCCTGCAGATGTCTCAGGGCAAAATAAATGACTTCCGGATGTTAAGAAAAATAAATGAATTCATTCATTCATGCAAAAGTGAAGGGCACATTGTTTTCATCCTTCAAAAAACACAACACCCTATGTATCTTAAGGTATCAATGAACAACAAATTCATTCTATTATGACACAAGAAATCTAAAACAGACGAGAGTGCAAAACAAATTCATTTTCTTTTCTCCATGCTCAGATAAATGTTCTAATTTCTTATTAAGTCCCCTGACAATATAATTTTTGAAAGTATCTTTATGGTCAATTAGAATTCAAACCACACACAAACAATTTTTTCTGGTGCGTTCGCCGCTTAGTCTAACTTCTCAGATTAAGATGGTTTCCTTAGCTTTATCGTCTTCTGTAACAATGTGTGTAGAACGCATTTTGAGAACGTACTTTCAGCCAGGCTGCAGATGCACATAATCTCTGTATTCCCGCAATGAAACAGAAAAGGTAGCACTCTTTGCCAAGGAAACAGGAATAACTATTTAAACAAAAACCCAGCCTGTCATTTCCACTTTTCCTTTAAAAAAAAAGAAAAAATCAGACTAGAATATAAGATTGGAAACGCTGGCTGAAAACTGGACCCTAACTGGAATCTACAATTCAAAGTCAGGCAGCAAACAAGGACTAATGGAATCCAGTGGTCTGGCTCACTCCCCTCCTATTGGAAAACCCACTCCAGGAACTGAAGGGGGAGGAAATCACTGCATGATTTCCTCACATTTTTCTGCTAGGTGACAGAAGAGGCCATGGGACCAACTCCCCCAAACCTGCAGATCCCCTGAGATCCATGGTGACCCCCAGGGAATCAATAACCATTCAAAGCCATCACCTCAGCCATGGATCCATGGTGTCCAGACTCTCTGGCAAAAGGACTCATGCTACCAAGGATTATCCCTAAAGACATAATCTCCAGGATGCCGATCGGGGTGCCCCTATACCTACAGTGTGGGCTGTATTGTATTTCCTGAGGATTATACTACCTCTGTAGGGCATAGGGTTAAGGGGGAGTGAGATGTGTGGTCCTCTCAGCCCTACTCATTCTCACCCCAAACCAGCTCTCTGTGAGGCCTGGGAGAACAGTTAATTGACTTCAATAGGGACTCATCGAGCGAACAGGCGAGCAGGATTTGGACTCCCGTTCAACAAACCACCCTCCTTTACCAGAGCACTTACACATATACTTCAGATGAAACAATTTGGCTGACTTGGTACCGGGGTCCTGAGGGCCTGATCCTGAGAGGTTCTGAGCACCTGCAACTGTCCCTGGAGTCAGGCCTCCCATTTTACACCCCCAGAAATGGACATGTGTGAGCTGATAAAAGTCAAATGACCAATTCTGCCACCCTCACTCGTGCTCCTGACTCCAAGAGGAACCTTACTGACACCAGGGGAGCTATTTTCAGAGGCAGGCACTACTCAGAATGGACAAAGGGTGATGGAATTTGGCCTCACATCAATAGACTCCATTACCGTCTAGTTTTACACTGGTCAGTTCTTTGGAAGAATTAATAAAACAAGAATTCAAAGCTCAGCCCGACCGCTTGGTCATCAAGGATTAATTTTATTGCGTTAAGGGCCCACTTAGGGATTAATTTTAAGGATTAATTTTATTGCGTTAAGGGCCCACTTGCAAACACTTGGGGTCTGATTCTCATTTACACAGAGTGCCTTTTACACCACACTGGCAATGTAAATAGACCTTAAAGGGGATGTTTGTACAGCACCCTACACTGTGCAGCCCCAATCCCAACTGGAGGGACTTTGGACACAATATTATTATCATGATTGATAATAATAATATATTAATTGCCAATGACGTGTAGAGGGGGCCTAAGTGTAAATCAGAATCTGGCCCTTACTATAGTCCCATTGGACTACACTCAGCTTTCGGATTTACAACCTAATGTAACAAGTCTTCATTATATATCCCTGTTCCATAAAGTTTGTTCTCTCACGCACTTCCACACACCCATATAACATCACATGCCACCCATTACTTCCAACCTATTACAATTCCCCATTGGACAACTTATCCTGAACCAAAAATGTAGCAGGTAAACAAAATTGTGTTAATATTTCCAATATATTTACCCCTGGTTAATTCTTTCAATAAAAGATTCCCCCACAAAAACCAGCAAAACATATTGATGCTGAAGCTGAAGGTAAATTTATATGTGAAAGACACATCCTGATACAAACAGATTAATTCAAATAGTTTTAATCAGGGAATGTCACAGAGAATAAAAGAGTATTTACTTGGAAGGGAAACACTTTAAAGCAAAAATAACTTGGAAATATTAGCTGAGTTTGAAGGGGGTGCCATTCCATCCGAACAGAGTCAGAAATTAACATTTCTGCATTCTGCTAAGTACAGCAGACAGGAAACAATCAACAGGTACCATCATGCCATTGTGAAACAATGTACAAAGCATGTCCGGTATTAATATTAGACTCCTACTACCACCAAGTATTCTTAAATCAAAGGAACTCTTTAAGAAAACAAACCCAAACTATGCACCACAAATTAATTCAGATCACATCTTTAAATCCATTTTGAGCCAAGCCAGAAGTCCACCCCTTCCGTCAGCTGTTGACTTTCTAAGTGTCCCAGACAGCTGCATGTCTGTCTATAGCTCCCTGAAATGACTTGTCTTGCCCAGATTTCTTAAGACTGCTGACTTCTAATAGCACTCCCTGACAAAGGCTCCTCTTTGAGGAGGAGATATGCTAGGCTGCCAGCCAGGATGCTGCAGAGTTCAGGGGCCAGGACCAGGCAGTGCAATCGTCCCTGACTGCCTCTTTAAAACCATGTCACGCTCATGTGACAACTGCTCCTCTGTGCTTGTTTGAACTGTCCCTCCCAATTAGTGGTAATAAGTGACTCTGTAAAGATGAGCAAACATAGTGCATTCATTAGCCCTCGCCAGCCCCCACCGCCCCCCTCCTTCCTGGCCAATCAGTCCCAGAAAATCCCCAGGGCACAACTCAGTTAATACTTGGAGGAAGCTAAACACATCTTGTTTGGAGTGAACAAGTGCTGGCAAAAGGCAAATTAATGACAAGTCATTTGAAGAGTTTGCCTGAAATTATTTTATTCTGTCCACCCACTGAAGAATTGATTATTCTCTGTGTGAAAATATGTCTGAATCAATAAGCTAAAAGCTAAGAGAAAGGAAGGCATGCTCCAACCCCATTTATTTAATCCACTTTTTTTGAGGCATGGCACATAATTTACAGGGCAGAAATTACTAAGCCTTTTCAGAGCAAGAACTAATGACAAGTTCTGGAAAACCTGTGCGATCATCCATCTCCTGGGTGAACTGCAGGCCTGTGCATTCGCCGATCACTATCTCAGCTGTAGTGAAGACTTCCAAGTCACTTATAACATGCCCTCCGACAGTCTTCCCATCCTTATCAGACAGGCAGATGTGGAGATGAGGTGCTTTGTTCAGGGTTCCCACCAAGGAGACGATTTCAAACCTCTCATTTAGATGAATAATCTAACAACAATTAAAACAGCAGAACTGGACGTCAGTTGCCAACATGGTGTACATTGCTTTATTCACATTCTGGTATCAAGGACATCTCAATAGGTTGACACACATTCATTCTAGGTTTCAGAGTAGCAGCCGTGTTAGTCTGTATCCGCAAAAAGAAAAGGAGGACTTGTGGCACCTTAGAGACTAACCCATTTATTTGAGCGTAAGCTTTCGTGAGCTACAGACTCCAACGAGAGACTGCTGAATTGGAATTAATTTGCAAACTGGACACCATTAAATTAGGCTTGAATAAAGACTGGGAGTGGATGTGTCATTACACAAAGTAAAACTATTTCCCCATGTTTATTTCCCCCCCTACTGTTCCTCACACGTTCTTGTCAACTGCTGGAAATGGCCCACCTTGATTATCACTACAAAAGGTTTTTTTTCTTTCCTGCTGGTACTAGCTCACCTTTCCTGATCACTCTCGCTACAGTGTGTATGGTAACACCCATTGTTTCATGTTCTCTGTGTATATACAATCGCCCTACTGTATTTCCCACTGCACGCATCCGATGAAGTGAGCTGTAGCTCACGAAAGCTTATGCTCAAATAAATTTGTTAGTCTCTAGTGCCACAAGTCCTCCTGTTCTTTTTACATTCATTCTAGAATCTTAAGAAGAATCTGGCCCCTTTCAGAGACCCCAAAGTGGACATCCAAAAATGGAGACACCTCAGTTTACTAGTCACTTTTGGAAAGGCGGGTCAGTATACCTAACAGAAGCTCTACTGGTATATATTCAAACCATTTGAAATAACCACCTGAAAAAGAGTACTGAGAGTTGCTTTGGGTCAGATGATCATAGCGGGGATACAATAGGTGAGTAACCATGCATGCAAATAGGCAGTGTGGTATACAGATATAGGGGTCTGAGAGTGCAACAGATGTGTAAGCAATTTAGCAGGCACAGCTGTTGGCTTTGCTTAGGAAATACAGGTCTTCATGTTTCAGCTCCCCTAGCAGTCAGGTAAGTCACCCCTGGGGAAGCTGAATGAGTGGGGGAATGTGTGGAGCGGCAACGCCAGAGAGTAGCATAGAGCGTTAGAATTCTTTTTGTGGAAGCACTTAACATTGGGGGGGGGGGAATCACTAGAATGTTGGAATTCAGCTGCCAGAAGTGGAGCGACATGGGAAAGCACCATAATATCTTGTTTTCCTTTGACCTGCCAGCTTGACAAGTACTTGGACTCTTTGGATTACTCAGGCCTAGACCTGGCATAATTCCAGGTATGCATGACAATTTGCCATCACAAAATGCCTTTGATACAAAGAATTCAAAGTGCCTCCCAGACATCACTGAACTACTGGAAGCCTCCCAGCAACACGGGGAGGTGCGGAAGCCCTGAGACTCCCATTTGACACTCAAGGAACCCGAAGGCCAGAGTGGTTCTAACTTATTTAAGATCACACAGGAAAGAGAGTGCCCAGGCTGCAGCTCCGCATCTTAACAAGTCCATTCTTCCTCAGAGGTGTAGTCGCCTCTCTGCCACTGGTTTGTCATTTCTGGGTGCTTTGGGGGATGGAAAGTGACAGGTGAGTAATCGGTGAGGTACCCCTTTGAAAATCTTCTGCATGCTCCACAGAACCCTGAATTTTCTAGGACATTAAACCCTTTTGCCTTCCAGACTCTTTCTTGCAGCTGTCATTCGTCTTTGAGGGGGGTGGATGGGAAACCTTTGGAAAACATCAATATCACTCTTTCATTGTCAAAAGGAATCACAGTTGAAGGACAAAAGATGCATTCCCTGCCCCAGAAGCGCCTGTCATTCATGGACAGGAGAGCCAAAGAGTGGGAATTATACTGGGTCTCCTGAATGGAAATGCAGAGAACTACCATTAAAATACCAACCGAGCGATCTTTAGTGTTCTTGTAAACAGCTTCTGTTGCAACTGTAACTTAGATGGAAACAAAAGAGCATTCCCAGCTTGTTCAAACACCAAGTTTTTAATCATTATTCACATATAGTCTCTGTTTATATTGCCAACAAAGGAACTTTTCAGCAACATGGGAAAGATGCTGTTCAACAAATTTGCACTTACGGGAAACTCAGGGTCTTGGAATAGTTTGTTGCACTGCATGGACATTATATACACACATGCACAGGCATGCATACACCCACGTGCACACACCACTCACATTTTAGAAACTGACTAATGATTTTGGGTGCTGCTGCTTCGGAGTGCTCTGCCTGAGACTCACCTCAAAGGGCTCTGATTTTTAAAGGACAGGTGCCCAGCGCTTTCTGAAAATCAAGCCCCATTAGTGGGCACCAAGTGGGGCCCCTCAAATACCCAGACACTCAAAATCACTAGCCCCTTTTAAGTAGGCTTGTACATTTGTCTCTTCCAGTAGATTTATTAACAAAGGGGAAGCCCACATGACTCAGACCTGGCTTAGAAATAATGCACAATTGTTGTATAATCCCCAATTTTTACATTGATTTTTCCTTGGTTCCATGTAGCATAAAACTCCCATGGCAACATAGTCCTGGAGCAAATATGTTAGATTCAAGGGTAAGCTCTCACTGATTTAAAAACAAACAAACTCCCACTCACTGATCTCTCCTCCATACAATAAACAGCAGGGCATTTATGTTTTTTTTAAATCTAGAAAAAGTAGCATTTTTAATGATCAATTATTGTTATTTTTATTATGAACAACAATATAAAGACTTTGGGTTCTACTCCCAGCTCTGCAAAGGTCTGTCTACACCACAGTTAAAAACCGGTGGCTGACCCATGCCAGCTGACTTGGGCTAGCAGGGTTTAGGCTCAGGGACTGTTTAATTGCAGTGTAGATATTCAGGCTAGGGCTGGAGCCTGCGCTCAGGGACCCTCCCCCATTGTGGGCTCCCACAACGCAGGCTCCAGCCCATGCTGACTCAGGCCAGCCGTGGGTTTTTAATTGCAGTTCGGACATACCTCAAGTGACCAAAGTGAATGGACTTTGGGTCAGACCAGAAGTGAAAAAAATGTACATTGCCTAAGGCCCCATCTCAGGAAGCCAGCCAGTGGGTCCTGTTGCAGAGGGCATTTCCTTTAACTTTGGGGAGCCAGAGGTGGCACAGAAAGAACCCATCCCATGCAGCCACTGCTGGTTGCAGGTTTTCTGGCCAGTACCTCTGTTCCGTGGCCTGACAGGACTTGGCTCGTAGCTCTGAAGGGACAGCCCAGCAATCTTGGCCACAGAGACACTTCCCCCTTCTATAAATACTAACAGGAAGACATTTTATTGTTCACATAAGCCCGTTAATGGACCCAGACACATGATCGAAATGTCTATTTATAGTTTAAGAAACATCCTTGAATATTGAACTAGTACCATCTAATTTACCTCAATGCTTAATTAAACACACAGCAATAAAGATAACACACTTACTGAGAAAATATGGTTTATGGGCTATGGCTAGACATAGAACAGAACAGATTTAGAGATCTGCTTGCCGTGCTGCACTGAGGGCCTGATCCTCAGCTGCATCAACTTGAGGGAAGCTATGCCAGTTTACACCTGCTGAACATCTGGCCCTTAAACTTCACCATGAGTTAATCGGGAACAGAATACATCTCCAGGAAAGCTCTGTGCACACATCAATTTATGCATATGCATTGCTAAGACATCACTACATGTGTCAGGTACCTGATTAGTATTCGAAGCAGTGGCGTTGGCCAGTCTCAGCGTTGCTTTGGTGATGCTTCCCACACAAGTCATGACAAATGGAGCTTTTAGCTTCTTATCTTCTACAAATTTTAACAAAGAGGTGGCAATGTCTTCCCCAGGCCCCAAACGGAGGGCATAAACAGAAAAGGCACTAGGTCCAGCCTGTGTAGAAGAGAAGTTTACAATGGTAATAGCTCGTACTTGACTTCCTTAATAAATCTATCCTTTATAGCCTAGTTTCAGTGGGTCAGCAGAGTACATCAGAATATGTTAGTAAATCCATTTTTATTGCATGGTCTTCGAGCAGCCCTCTTTCTGTGATATTATCTCTCATTTTGAAGCAAGTGTTAATTGTATCTCCTCAAGGCTCCTTGTGCTAGGCACAGTCCAAACACATAGTCCCTAAGAATTTACAGTCCAAATAGACAAGATAGTCAAAGGGTGGGAGAAAAAGAAGTACTGTCATCCCCACTTTGCAGACAGGAAACTGAGGCACAAAGAAATTAAGTGACTTGCCAAGGCAAAAGAGTGAGTCCATGGAAAAACCAGGACTTGAACCAGACCTCCTGAGTGCCAGCCCAGTGCCTCCACCATAAAACCAACCTTCCTTTCAGAGATGCACCCAGTGATGCCTCATGTTTCTGGAGCTGCTAGTAGCTCCTCAAGGTTCTGCACGCTGGGCAATATCCACACACAGCTCTTGGGGCTGCTGATAAATAACAGGTGGCTTCCAGTGTTATGGCGCAGCATCAGGAAAGTCGGGCACTGCATGGCTTCTCTCTCCGCTTCCCCAGGGAGACTTGCCTCTCCTGGTCTTGAAACAAAATGGATGATTTTTGTGGCTGCATTTCAGACAGACTGAAAGGGGTTATGGAGAGAGTCCAGCAGGCTAGAGAGGAGGAAGCTGCCGTAGGAGATTATAGTCAGAACCACAGTGGGAATGGAATGGACTGCCTACATAAGGCTCAGCTAGGCAGACAAATAATGCACAGTGTCTGGGGAGGCAGCATCATGATCAGCTTGCATATTCCTGGAGGTATTGGTTGAGTTTGGCAAAGCTGACCTAGGGGATTTAGTCACCAAACTGCCACAGCAATGAATGAGCATTGCACAGCTGAATCCACCAGTGGACTTTGAAAATCTCAGTAATGGCCCTAAATGTTGGTTATGTAGTCCAGATTCCTTTGGTTTTAGGCCAAGATTGTCACTTGCCAGATGCCTGCACAAAGCAGCGACACCCCCTGTTTAAACCCGCGTGTGGGCTACCTGAACCTGGCAATCCGATCAGACAGGAGTAAGCGGGACTACACGGCTGCACACTTTCACCCCAGAGCAGATGGTCAGAGAGGGGCAGAGCCTCAGGCCAGCACAGGTGAGCCAGCCATGAGCATAGGTCAGTGCTGATATCGATCCGCAGCAAACTGCTACTCTCCCAGAGCAAGAATGAGTGGGGAGAGAATTGCATCTCAGAAGGGTGTCGCTAGCAGAGCTGTTTCATCTGAAACAGCTTTTAAAAAATGGTTAAAGATTCCATGAGAAATTTCCATTTTTTTAAACTAAACTTTTTTGGCGGGGGATAGAAAAACATCAGCTAAAAACTTAATATTTGTCATATTTTGGCCACTGAAATTCAAAGAATTTTCAGTGTTTGGGTTTGGATTTTTTTTATGAAATGTTTTTTGACAGAAACAAAACTGTTTTTCTTTTCATTTATGTTTTTCACAAGAACAAAGCACATTTCCCAACCTCCCCTGGTGTCTAGTCACAGCGCCACCCAGGGCTACTTCTGAGAGAGAGAGCGCAGCGTCTGGACTGGGCTGTATCTAACGGCACAATCTAGTCTTTTCATCTGTTGTATTTTGCATGGTATAAAGAACAAGGAGCATGGAGGCCAGAATCATAAAGTGAAAAATGGTGGGACTAGGGTACTGATTTCTTTAGTTACCTGCCTTCCATGGTAACAGGCACACATCCCCATATGTGGCAACAATGTAAGCTAGTTTTATTACTCAATAAAATATTTGAAACAAAATAAATGGTTTTATCCTACACTATATCTCCTCAAATAATAATGTACCGACTTAAAAAGAAAACCAACCAACATTCACATTCTATGCCTGAGTTTTATTTTCGGTCCCGGAGGATGGCAAACCAGGCATTTCAATTTTGAATTCGAATACAGTAACTATAGTTCTCAGAGAGTTTGAACAAATGCCAACAAAACAAACCCCAAATCAAATTTATTAGCTGGTGGAGATGTCCAACAATTTTACACAGTGACTTGATAAAGCCATCTGGGGATTCCTTTCAACATTAAGTGATTTAGAGCCCCTACAGAAACTTCATTGTCTGTTATAATATATAAAGAGTTTCTCAATATCAAGTCATGTTAAAACAGCAACAATTTGGTTGTTTGTTATTTTCAGTGTATATGTTTTGCTTTAATCTGGAAAGTTTCTCAGCCCCCACCCCCCCACCCCCGCCCCGATATCTAGAGTCCTGCAGAGAACTATAAAGGGACAAAGTGAAAATTAACTAAGACTTGCAGCCTGTGTTTTTAAAGAGCTACCTAACATTCGATCGCAAGCTTGAGACAATCCCTGGGAATCTGTGTACATCTGCAGAAAAGGAAACAGGTCTGCCTCCCCATTATGATTAGTTGTTAAATGCCAGCAATAGGCTCAGTGTTGTACAAAGCACAAAACTAAAGAGAGTCCCTGCCCAGCCTATGGGGGTGGGCCAATGACCAATAAATCAGTCAGAGTCTTTTTGTTGCCATTCATCAGGTGTCAGATCAAGCCCCATTTGTATCATGATGGTTTATGTTCCATCTTAATTGAAAAAAACATTAATTTACAGTCAATGTGTTTGTATCTACATATATTCATGAACGATAAGATTTGGATAAGATTTGGATAAGTGCTCACCTCCACGAGAGGCATACAGCTCTTACCGGTGATTCTTTTGCGGTGATGTGCAAGTGGAGACATGTTCTTCCTGTGTAAACAGCTCTTAACTTCCAGAGGATATCCCACAGTGCCTAGGATGACCACTCTGGTCAGCAGCTCTGCTGTTCTGACACCAGGTAAACAGATGTCCGCCCCTCCCCCTGTAAAGCCCCAGGAACTTTGAAACTCCCTTTCTTGTTTTGTTTGCAAGTGCTCATCTGGCCAAGTGACCATGGCTGCTTCACAGAGCAAATGATCCTCCACTTGGACCCTGTGCTCACCCCCGCCTTTCCCACAAGACCTATAGTCAAACTGGAGAGAGCTGCACTGTGGGATAGCTGCCCTCAGTGTGCTGCTCTCATCCACGATGGAAATGCTGAAAACGTGAACACTCTCTGACGCCTATGGAAGTGAGTGAGTACACAAACCAGCGCTTTTCTTTCACCCATTCCCTATCACCGGTGAAATTGACAGCGCAAAACCTCTTCAAGTGTAGACATAGCCTAAGAACATAAGAATGGCCCTTCTGGGTCAGAGCAATGGTCGATCTAGCCCTGTATCTTGTCTCCGACAGTGGCCAGTACAGACCTTCAAGGAGTATACAGAACAGGGCAGCTGAAGTGATTAACTCCATCTTTCTCTCCCAAGGTCTGGCAGTCAGATGGTTAGGATTGCCCTAAACTTGTGGTTGCATCACCAATCATCTTGGCTTATAACCATTGATGGATCTATCTTCCATGAACTTATCTAGTTCTTTTTTTAAACCCAGTTCTACTTTTGGCTATCACTACATCCAATGGCAATGAGTTCCACGGGTTAATTGTGCACTGTGTGAAAAAGTACTTCCTCTTGTTTGTATTCAAGCTGCTGCTGCTTAATTTCATCAGGTGACTCCCGGTTTTTATTTTGTGGGAAAGGCTACCTAAGGCAGATAGTTTTATCTTCAAACAATGCTGACAAAACTGTAAAGCTATTAAAAATAGAAACAATTTAAGAACCAGGGATGTTCTAAATATGTACTAGGAATATGACAACTAATCTGTGATTCCTGTCCTAATACCTACAACGTGTTCATATGTCTATGACTTTAGAAAAGCAGAATAGCAAACATTTAAAGTGGCAATCAGCACAGGGCAGTGGCCATATAAAACTTAGGGTGTGTCCACCCTGGCACAGTTACAGCGCTGGCAGTTACAGCACTGCTCAGAGAGCGCTGAAGGGAAACCGCTGTTGTGTGTTCACACTGTCAGCTGCCTGCGCAATAACGTGTTCACACTTGCAGCGGTATTCGGAGCGGTGCACTCTGGGCAGCTATCCCACTAAGCATCTCTTCCTCTTCTGCCACTAAGAGTTGTGGGAAGGCGGAGGGGGTCGCGGGGCATCCTGGGTCCTGGCCCAATGCCCCATGATGCACTGCTTCGCATCCCAGCAATCTCTGTGCTTCCGTCCACATTTGGTGCCATCTTTCAACGGTTTGTGCACTGCGCGCTCTGCCTCTTTGGTCCGCAGGAATGGATCCCGCACTGTTGACCAATATGCTGCTCGCTCTGACTAACACGTCACGAGTGGCAGTGGAGTTATTCCTTAAACTGCAAAGGCAAGAGAAGTGCAACATTGATCTCGCCATGCATAGTAGCTACAACACAAGATTGCTCATTGCATTCATGGAGGTGCTGACCACAGTGGAACGCCGTTTTTGGGCCCAGGAAACAAGCACTGAGTGGTGGGATCACATTGTCACACATGTCTGGGACGACGACCAATGGCTGCAGAACTTTTGGATGAGGAAAGCCACATTCATGGGACTGTGTGATGAGCTCGCCCCAGCCCTGCGGCGCAAGGACACGAGAATGAGAGCTGCCCTGATGCTGGAGAAGAGTGTGGCAATTGCACTGTGGAAGCTGGCTACTCCAGACTGCTACCGATCGGTCACTAACCAGTTTGGAGTGGGAAAGCTGACCGTTGGACTTGTGTTGATGGAAGTCTGCAGGGCCATTAATCGCATCCTGCTCTGAAAGACCGTGACTCTGGGCAACATGCGTGACATTGTGGATGGCTTTGCACAAATGGACTTCCCTAACTGCGGAGGGGCGATAGACGGCATGCATATTCCAATTCTGGCACCAGACCACCTAGCCACCAAGTACATTAATAGCAAGGGGTATTTCTCAATGGTTCTCCAGGCACTTGTGGATCACCGTGGGTGTTTCACGG